TTAATATAGAATAAGAGGAGTAGGGAACCAAAAGTTTGGATCTCTTTGAGATCGTTTATTTATAAATAGGGATATAGGATTTAGATCACTTCTGGAAAAGGTACTGAACAAACTATGCATACCATAAAAATTTAGAAGGAATCTAGAAAAAATAGGAGGCGAACAGACTTGGGCTAGGATTGGTTTCTCATGGTCGAGTATAGAGGAGCATATGGGTCTCCTTGTGATGATCACCCAATATCTCTGTGATCTGGGCTCATCTAGCAAGTCTACTGAGGATATTGAGCAAGCCCTTGTGCACTTAAGTTGGGTGCTCCTTTATTCTGTTGACTGGCTTGTCCTTCTAGGACTAGACTAATATGTTTGTGTGCGATCTGGTTAGCGACTTTGTCTAGGACCCAATTAGTGAGTATGCTTGGAGAGCTCCCTTCTGGGAACCATCTGGTGAGTTTGCCTTAAGCCCGACATGATTAGGTCATCCTTTTGCCTATATAGATGTTAAATTTTATAAGCATCTTTTTAAATCTTTTTTTTGTATATATTTCACATGTAATAAATTTTTAGACTTATTTTTTAATCTTTTATATATATATATATATATTTCACAATAGAAGTGGGGTGGAATTTTAAGTTCATTTTAATTTTAAATTTGTATGTTTCTTGATTATGTGTTACACTACTTTGATGGACTGAAGTATGTGTTGCTCTTTGGAAAGATTATGGAGCTTTTTAGTTGGGAAAAGATATAGAAAAGTTGTATGAGATGGCCTAAAAGAAAGCACAACTCACACAATACGACGCACATAAAACTCAAATAAAACAAAGATACATAAAAGTAAAAAATAAAAAATCCACAAATTGTGCAAAAGTGCTAGGGTCGTCACACTTTAGTCCTTCCTCTGCCTCTAGTTCTTGGAAGTGAGTCGGCTAACAAATTGGAAATGTGAGTATCATTGTCTGTAGTAACTAAAGTATCATCCATCAGATTTCTAAGCTCAAGTAGGTCTTCATTTTTCTTCATTTTTCTTCTTCCTCCTTTCCTCCTGGATGTGTAGACTTGTCATTCCTCATCCGATGATTAACTCATCTGATTAGTAGATTTCAACGTTGGTCGGACAGGTGTAGGTCGTTGCACATCACGATCCTCATGAGCCTGAGTAACATTAATAGCTTGCTCAACCTCATGAGACGGTAGTGAAGCAATAGAAGTATTGCCACCTGTATTATCAGTGGTATCTAGGGCATGTGGGGTCTGAAGACTCACCCTCTCCCCTACGATAGGAGGTTCCAAAGACAGGGGAGCTACAACTGGGGACTGAAAGATTATCATATTGCCTGCGAGAATAATGACGTCATCCGGGGTATTTTTTTGATGATCAATAGTAATATTGTCAATAACTTGGAGCTGATCAGGACGAGATGAAATCGCTGCCTCTGGCGGAGCATTATGTTTTTTTTTTTGTCTGAGTTAGGGGTGTAAATGGTAACATTAAGAACTGGAGTGGTCGAACATACAATAGTTTGAAGAAAAATGCTCAACCACTACCTTTTGTCAATATCCATGATGTTGTGTGCCCAACCAAATTTTTTTAGAGGCGGGTGAAGTGATGTTTCTTTCGATAAATACTCTAGCTTCAGATGGACGAGAACAGATTAATGGGTAGAATGTATGTTTTGAGTGGCTTATCATAAGCTGAGGCAATAGTGTACGACACTTTTTGAGTAAAATAATGAAATTTCATAGCAGGGAGGTGAATCCAAACTGGAATGATTGGCAGTTCTGTTTGTGGGTCAAAATTCACAGATCATTTTAGAATTTTCATTGTTCTGTTATCAATCCAGATTATTCTTCAAGCAAATAAACACGTGTAATCCTCTTCATTTTTTAGTTGTATAAGAATGTGTTTTCAATCTAACAGTCCAATTTTTCACTTCCCAACAAGGTGCATAAGCTCAATTTTTTTACGAATCAACTCCATTTTGGGATGGTCATACAGAAATTTTGCGACCAAATTCATTTGACAAGAGGAAACAAGTTGATTACCTTCAACTTCTGTAAAAAAGATGGCAGACTTCCCATTCTTCCTACCAGGTTTTTTGATATCTTCTGCCCACTCAAATGAATGAGGGAAAGAACACGATTTAGGTGTACCTGAGGCGTGGACACCCGCAAGTACAGCAGCATAAGATCTATCGGAAGCAATGGAGGTGCGACATAGTAGAGCAGATAGCGGAAACCCAAAACAGGGAGTAGTAGGAGCGGAAGCCCCTGCGTTCAGCTCGAGCCCGAGGACGACGCAGGAGCAGAGCGACGCAGTCAACGAAGCCTGACGCACGAGCAGAGATGCACGAGCATAAATGAAGCCAACGTACGACAGCGGCGACAACATCGAGAGAGTTAGATCGAAGAGAAGTAGTGGAGTAATAACGAGGGATCATCATGGTGAAACCCTAGCAGAGCGTAAGCGGGAGCACCATATATATATATATATATATTAAAAGAGTCTAAGGCTCGACGCACGAGCGGAGACGAAGAGCACAAACGAAGCCGACTTGCGAGCAGATACGCACGAGCAGAAACGAAGCCGAAACAGGGAGCAGAAGCGGCGAAGCCCCTGCGATTAGCTCGAGCCCAAGGACGACGCAGTCGACGAAGCCTGACACACGAGCAGAGATGCACAAGCATAAACCAAGCCAACGTGCGACAACTATGGCCCGACGCACCTGACACACGAGCGTGAGCGCGAGCGTGAGCGAGAGCACCATATATATATATATATTAAAACAGTCTAAGGGCTAATATATTAAAGAGGAAAAGATACAGATATGTTGTATGAGTTGGTGCAAAAGAAAAAACCCAGCCCACACGTACAACACACAAAATCTTAAAACAAAAAAAGGAAAGATACATATATGATCAAAAACACCAAAACTTTCAAAGTGCGCAAAAAGTTAGGGACGACCCAATTTAGTCTTGCCTGTGTCTCTTATTTTCGGAAGGGAGTCAGCTAACAAATTGGTGAGGTGCATACCGTTGCCCGAAGTAACCAAAGTATCATTCATTAAATTTTTGAGCTCAAGTAGGTCTCCAATCTTCTTCTTTCTCCTGAATGTGTAAACCTGTCATTCTTCATCCAAAGATTGACTCATCTGATCAGTGGATTGGTCCAAAGGTAGTCAGACATATATAGGTTGTTGCACCGCATGTGCCTGAGTAACTTTAACTTCTTGCTCGACCTGACGAGGCGGTACCGTTACATCAGTGATAAGTTTTAGGGCAGGTGAAGCTCCCTCCGAACCTACATCATGAGCATTGTGTGGAGGTTGAATGGTTGACATATTATCTGTGAGGATAGTGGCATCTTCAGGGGTATTCTTTTGATGATCAATAGTGTCAATAACTTGGAGCAGATCAGGAGTTGGGGGGGAATCGCATCCTCTGGCAGAGCACTTTACTTCTTTGGTCTGAGATTGGGGTGTAGATGATGTCATTGAGAACTGGACTAGTTGAACATACGACAGTTCGAACAGTACGAAAGGAAAGACTTAATCACAACATTTTGTCAATATTCATGATGTTGTGTGTCTAACCAAATTTCTTCAGGGCAATTAAAGTAATGTCCCTTTTAACAAGTACTCTGGTTTCAGAAGGACATGAAAGATTAAAAGTAGGAATGTCCGTTTTGAGTGGTTTAACATAAACTGAGGCAATATAGTACTACACTTTTTGAGTAAAATAGTGAAACTTCGGACCATGGAGGCGAAGCCAGGCCCGTATGATTGGTGGTTCCGTCTGTGGGTCAAAGTCCACCGACCATGTCAAGATCTTCATTGCTTTGTTATCAATCCAGATCACTCTTTTAGTAAATAAGCACGTATAATCCTTTTCATTATTAAGTTGAATAAGGATGTGTCTTCCATCTAGAAGTTCAATTTTTCACTCAACAAGATGCATAAACTCAAATTTCTTACGAATAAGCTCCATTTTGGGATGACTACAAAGGAATTTCTCAATCAAATTTAAACAACAGGAGGAAACAAGTTGGTTACATTCAGTTTTTGTAGAAAAGATGGCATGTTTCTCATTCTACCTTCCAGGTTTCTTGATGTCATCTACCAACTCAAACCAAGGGAATGAGCACACGATTTAGGAGTTCCTGAAACATGGTCACTCGCAAGGGTAGCAGCATACGATTTGTTCAAAGTCATCACCAAAAGAATGCGGCGTGGCGAAAGAGCGGCGAAATCCAAAAGGGGATCAACTGTAATCCCTACAAGTCGACAAGAGGGAGGATGCGGAGTGCGGAGCTTTCTGCTCGAGCCCAAGGAAAGACTCTGCACACAGGAGACGTCTTTCAAAGTAGCGAAGACGACGAAGGAAATAGTCCTTCCAAGCGGGGGATGAAGGACTGCCGCGAGGAAAGAAGCGGATCTTTTAATCGGCGACAACGAGGAAAGACTACGGAGAAACAAACCTTCCAAACGAGACGTCGACGAAGGACCAGACACAACGAGACAGACCAGAGGAAAGGATGTCATACAGTCGTTAGGGTTCGCCATGAGGCGTAACCTTAGCAGAGCCGAGCGTGGGAGAAGACTCCATCATGCCCTAACTATATTTATAAAATTAATTTTTTGAGCTGGAATGTTCTTTGTCAATTGTTAGTATTATTACATGGGAAATTAGATGGATTATAAGCTTCTGTTGCGAGTTTTATCGCTTCAGCACAGGGCAAACATTACCAATATATTTAGCGTGATTTAATTTTAATTGAAGTTTTGAGAGACACTCTTATTTGCTAACTATAGTTTTTTTTAATTCCATCAGATGTAACACAATATATTTTCCATGTCGATATGTTGTGTAAGAGAATGTTCCCATACTTATTTTTTGTAAGCTTGGTAGCTTTTAAAAAAAGTTACATCGGTTTTTTAATTTTAAAAAATTTCATTTCAACGCATTCAACTTTCGTTCTTGAAGTGCCTTCTAAATTTTATAGGACAACTATCTCGAGGAAGCTATGAAAATGAGGAATCTGCTTGAAGAATTCAGGGGCGATTATGGTATTCGGGCTCCTACAATTCTTGGCTTGAGGGAGCATGTTTTCACTGGAAGGTTTTATGTTTGTTTTTATACTGTTTACTATTTATATCTTCTTTTCTTAATAATTTGAGCATCTGATTTCCTTTTCAATAGTGTGTCCTCGCTGGCATTGTTCATGTCAAATCAAGAAACGAGCTTTGTTACTTTGGGTCAACGAGTTCTTGCATATCCTTTGAAGTAAGTGCATTATTCTATTTTGTCCTTTCTGAATCTTTTTATTCTCTGATTTTTTTTTAATGATAATTTTTTTGTTCTGTTTTTGTTTAACTTGTTTTAACTTCATAAATGCATCCAAATCTGAATTTAAAACTGTAAGATTACTAGCTTAATTTTTTTTAAGTACACTGATAAATCTCAATGAAGATACCTCGTTCGATGGTCACGTTTATAATTAATCAAGCTAGCTACCAACTAGGCTACAAAGGAGTGTGCCTTTATTATTTGTTGTGCTCTTAAACCCACCATAATATTGCAATGCATGGCATTGGTTAAATCTAACAGCTATTTTTGTGAACCTAATCTTTGTTGATCTTTTTCATGCAAGTGTTTGATTACTTGTTGACTAGTTCATTGTTGTTATAAAATTCCCAATTTTGACTAACATAAGTTAGTTTGCTTCTGATTTTATTTATCCGCTTTTTTAATCTAATTTAATCTCTTGCTTTTTAAGTAACTGTGACTGCATTATTTTGATAAAAATGTTGATTATGTGTTGTAAAAACCTTTACAGGGTCCGTATGCATTATGGGCATCCTGATGTTTTTGATAGATTGTTTCACATAACCAGAGGGGGAATAAGCAAGGCATCTCGGGTAATTAATATCAGCGAAGACATTTATGCAGGTATCTACCAGAAATAGTTAATTTTTCTTCATATTTATAAATTGGTCTATTGACAATATAAAGCTAGTGCTATGTTTTCTGGTTTTATTTTTTCTGATACTTTTGAAAATTCTTTACAAAATGAAAATGCCCCTAATGTTGATCTCTCTCTTTCTCTCTCTCTCTCTCTCTCTCTCTCTCTCTATATATATATATATATATATATATATATTTTTATTTTTATTATGTTCACCGGCGAGATCATATATATATATTTATTTATTTATTTTTTTTTTTTTTTGAAAAAGCCCAAGGGCTAATTTATTAAAACAAAAAAGATACAAAAATATTGTATGGGAGAGCTTAAAAGAAAACTCAACTCATACAAAACAACACACACAAAACCTAAATAAAGCAAAGAAACATAAAGATAAAAAATCAAAAAGCCACTAAAGTGCGCAAAAATGCTAGGGACGTCCCACTTTAGTCCCCCCTCTGCCTTTAATTCTCGGAATTGGGTCTGCTAACAAATTAGTAAGGTGAGTGTCATTGCCCAAAGTAACCAAAGTATCATCCATCAGATTCCTGAGCTCAAGTAGGTCTCCATATTTATTCCTCCTCCTCGATGTGTAGACTTGTTATTCCTCATCCGTTGATTGGCTCATTTGATCAATAGATTGTTCCAAAATTGGGTGGACAGATGTAGGTTGTTGCACAACATGATCCTCATGAACCTTAGTGACATTTACAGCTTGCTTGACCTGATGAGGCGGTAGTGAAACAATAGAAGTATTGCAAATGTAATAACGGTGATATGTTCTAAGGCAAGTGGGGTCTGAAGAATCTCCCTCTCACCCACGATAGGAGGTTCCAGAGAAAACTGAATGGTTGTAATATTGTCTGCGAGAATAATGATGTCTTCGGGGGCATTATTTTGATGATCATATTGTCAATAACTTAGAGTTGATCAGGAGGAGATGAAATTACTGTCTCTGGCGGAGCACTGTGTTTTTTTTGTCTGAAGTATGGATGTAGATGATGGCATCGAGAATTGGAGTGGTCGAACATACGACAATTTCAACAATATGAAGGAAAATACTCAATCTCTAGCTTTTGTCAATACCCATGATGCTGTGTGCCCAACCAAATTTCTTCAGAAGAAGATGAAGTGATGTCTCTTTCAACAAGTATTCTGGCTTCTGATGGACGGGAAAGATTAAAAGTAAGAATGTCCGTTTTGAGTGGCTTACCATAAGCTGAGGCAATTGCGTACAAAACTTTTTGAGTAAAATAATGAAATTTCAGACCAGGGAGTCAAATCCAAACCGGAATGATCGGAGATTTCATTTGAGGGTCAAAATTCACAAATCATTTCAAAATCTTTCATTGCTTTGTTATCAATCCAGATTATCCTTCTAACAAATAAACGCGTGTAATCTTCTTCATTAGTAATTTGTATGAGAATGTGTCTTCCATCTAACCGTCCAATTTTTCACTCCCCAACCAGGTGCATAAGCTCAAATTCCTTACGAATCAGCTCTATTTTGGGATGACCAGACAGAAAATTCCCAGCTAAATTCAGTCGACAGGAGGAAGAAAGTTGAATACCTTCAGCTTCTGTTAAAAAAATGACGGGCTTCCCATTCTTCCTTCTAGGTTTCTTGATATCCTCCTCCCACTCAAACGGAGGGAAGGAAAGAGCACGATTTAGGTGTATCTGAGGTGGTCGTAAGAGCAGCAACATACGATCTGTTCGAAGTCATCCCCAATAGATGGAGGCGTGGTGTTAAGAACAGTGAAGAAAGCAATGAAGAGCAAAGTCATAATTCAGAAAGTCCAAATCCAAAAAACAGGGATCATGAGCGGAAATCTTGCAAATTCAGCAGACGCCCTGTAGGCTGCAGCGAACGCAGCCCGCCCAGATGCGGACACGCAGAAGTGGACTACGCCCCTGTGAAAACACGTCGAGCAGAGCGCAGAAATGGACCCTGCGAAAACAACTCGAGCAGAGCGGCAGCAACAAAGGAGACGCGACACAGAAAGCGGAAGCGCCGCGACAAACAGAGCGACACTGCCCGCCGAATCCAAAGTTGTAGATGACACGAGAAGCCGACGAGGAAGGTTTAGCAGAGACGAGAGATATCGAAGAAACGCTAGGGTTCGCCGTGAGGCGAAACCCGAGTAAAGCGGAGACGACAAGAAAAGAGCTTGATATCCTTCTTTGTATATATATACATACGATACAAGTACAGTAATACCCTAACAAAAAGATACAAATAGACAATAAAACGTAAAACAAATTTAAAACATGCATAAAACAAGTAGCTAGGGACGAGCCAGTTTAATTATGTCTCTTCCTCTAATTTTAGGAGTCATATAACAAACTTTGAAGAGTCGTGTCATTGTCAGGAGTCACCAAAGTATCATCCATTAAGTTTTCAAGTTTGAGTAAGCCTCTAGCCTTCTTCTTCCACCGAGAAGTGTAAATCTGTCATTTTTTATTTGAAGACTGACTCATATGATTCTCGATTTGATTTGATGTTAGCACTGCAGTAGGAGGAAAGACAGTCGTTCCGCGACAAGTTCCAGTGTATGTGAAGTGTGAATTGTTACCTCTGCACCTGATGCTTCCTGACTAGGATCTGCGGGACTATCCTGATTTTCCGTTTGAAAATTGGAACATTATCCGTTATAGTATAGTCAGGAGAAGGGATCCCAGGGGCAGACACCAACTCCTGTCTTGTGGGGATTCCCTCAGGTAAATTGTCATCAGGATTGCTGAGAGCGCGTTCAGGCACATGAGGTGCACTAGTAGTGTGTTCCTGCTTTTGACTATTGGTTCTCAACTATGGGTGCAATCTAAAGCATTTGTTCTGCGAGTGTCCAAACATCTTGCAGTGCTTGGAGTAGTATGGTTTTTGTTCAATAATGATTTTTTGTCAATAACCATTATTAGCAAATTCAAGCCAGACTTCTTCTATATCTGGTAGTGTAATACCTCGTTCAATCAAAATCCTTGCAATAGAAGGCCTTGAGAAATGAACCGTAGGTAAGTCTATCTGTAAAAGTTTTCCAATGATAGTCTCAATAGCATATAAAATAGGTAGGTCAAAGAAATGAAGCTTGAGTTCAGGTAATGAGAACTAGATAGGTGCGATTGGGGGTTCTTGACTAGGATCAAAATTGGGAGTCCATTTGAGCAATTTCATATGTTTGCCCTCAATTGTGATGAATTATTTTGAGAAAATTATCATGTAATCATCTTCTGTGCTCAACTGTATCATAACATGCATTCCGTCGAAATGACCCACCTGTAAATCACCAACCAGTTTGAAATCTTCAAAAACGTTCCCGATGATTTCTATGTTAGGGCAACCTAATTGGAACTTTCCAACTAGTGTAAATTTATATTTTCCTGCACGAGTTGAAATTTCAGCGTCAGAAAAGAAAATTACTAGTTTGCCTGTCTTTTTTTCTAATTTTTTTATGACATTGCAATCGTCATTTCCTGCAACAGAATCATGACAAATCTGCGGGAATATCGCACTATCTGTGAGGTGAAAAGGGGAGTTGTGTTTGTGAACCAACTGCGAGGTGAAATTGCTGGTTTGTCCGCCTTTTTCTCTACTTTTTTTATGAAATTGCAATCGTCATTTTCTACACCATAATCATGGTAAATCTGCGGGAATTTCACACTATCTATGAGGTGAAAAAAGGAGTTGCGTTTGTGAACCACTATAACATAGGAGAGTTTGGCAGGGTTATCACCGGCGAGGGCAGTGACATAGGAAAGCTTTGAGTCTATTACCGCAGCCAGTGCCAACCTGAAGCACAGTGAGAAGCCGCACGAGTGTCGAACGGCTCTGTCGCAGACGGCAGAGGCAATGCCAAGCAGACCGGGCGTCTCTGTTGTAGAGGAGACGCATCAGAAGCAGGAAGGTGTCGAGCGGTTGAGCGGCTCTGTAGCAGAGGAGACGCAGCAGAAGCAGGAAGGTGTCGAGCGGCTCTGTCGCAGACGAGACGCAGGAACGAAGACGACCGCAGAATATGTGTGTGTGTGTGTGTGTGTATATATATTCAGCAGACGCCCTGT